CAAAGTTTTGCTCTTGTTGCCAAGGCTGGAGTGCAATGGCGTAATCTCAGCTCACCACAACCTCCACCTCCTAGGTTGAAGCGATTCTCCTGTGTCAGCCTTCTCAGTAGCTGGAATTACAGGCATCCGCCAACACACCCGGCTAATTTTGTATTTTTTACTAGAGACAGGGTTTCTCCATGTTGGTCAGGCTGGTTTCAAACTCCTGACCTCAGGTGATCCACCCACCTTGGCCTCCCAAAGTGCTGGAATTACAGGCATGATCACCATGCCCACCCTCAATTTTTCTTTGTACATGATAAAACCACACCCAGAGCAAATAAAGTCAGCTCTGTCCTTTCACATTCCCAGGACCGAATTGATGGCATCACCATTCAGGCCCGCCAGTTCCAAGATGCTGGCCATTTTGATGCAGAAAACATCAAGAAGAAACAGGAAGCCCTCGTGGCTCGCTATGAGGCGCTCAAGGAGCCCATGGTGGCCCGGAAGCAGAAGCTGGCTGATTCTCTGCGGTTGCAGCAGCTCTTCCGGGATGTTGAGGATGAAGAGACGTGGATTCGAGAGAAAGAGCCCATTGCTGCATCTACCAATAGAGGTCAGTCTGCTTCACGCAGGTAGGAATCAGCTTGAGAAAAGCTGTGCTATTGTAGCATAAAGGGGATGCATGTCAGGATGGGCAAGGTTGAGTTTAAATTATTGAACTGGAACCTAAGAATGACAAATCAGTGCTGACTTTTCATGTTTGGGTAACTGGGGAGTGGTGTCTGCTTTCAGGTAAGGATTTGATTGGAGTCCAAAATCTGCTAAAGAAGCATCAAGCCTTACAAGCAGAAATTGCTGGACATGAACCTCGCATCAAAGCAGTTACACAGAAGGGGAATGCCATGGTGGAGGAAGGTGAGTGATTGGCATCAGTGACATGGCTTGGCACTGCTCCCCTTCTTGCCAAGGGCATGGCCATGTGGTCATAACAGACCAGGCTCTGGGGCTGAATACCATCCTCATTCTTTCCTGACTGTATGACCTGACCAGACCTTTACCCTTTGTGAGCCTAAACTTCTTTTTTTTTTTTTTTTTTTTTTTTTTTTTTTTTTT